TGAGTCGTCCGTAACTTTTTCCGCTCCTTGGTTGTTTTGTTTTTTTATCTTATATGTATCTTCTCTTTTTTTGGGATTTTGTGTGAGTTGTACCGTGTGGGTTGGGTGTCTACTTTTGGGCACACTCATACAACCTATCTGTATCTTTTTCTCTTTAATATATTAGTCCTTAGACTTACTGTTGCGGAAAAAGGGATTTTGTGTGAGTTGTACCTTGTGTGAGATATATCTGTATCTTTTATATATATATATATATATATATATATATATCTCCATTTTCTCTATTCTCATCCCCACCACTTACTAGAGTACTATTGCGGAAAAAGGGATTGCGATTGGGCGATTCTGTGAGAAGCAGATCATTGAAATTAAGAACTATACTCTTGGGTAACAGCTGCAGCATGGAAAACAAGGAGGAAAACGGGAAAGGAGAGGAAGGATATGAGAGAATATTTCAAGAGAAAAATTGAGGTTTGGAGGTAAGAAATCTATTTCTAAGTGAATTTATAAAAGTTTGCATTAATTTCATCTTACTTGAGAATACCAGTTACTTTTTTCAGTTTTGTGAAATTTATATTTAGCCAAATTATTTGGGCACAAATTTTGGATTGTAAATTTAGAAAAGGGTTGAAGGGAGATTTGGAAGAATAGTGTGTACGAGAAGAAACCAATTTGAGGTAAATGCTTATTGAAATTAAAAATGTCTTAAATTGAATTTAATTTAAAGATTTCCTTAAAATTTATAAGAAAAGATGATTTCTAGATGGTCTATGCTAGACGACAAGCTCATGACGAGCTTGGTGAATCTTATCATGAGATTGTTTCGTTAACAAAATGAGTTAATTAAGTGCTAAATTAAGAAGCAAATATTTCATAAAATCATTACTTGTGATTGTTTGCAGTGTATTTATCTAATAGATAAGTGCATATTTCATAGAAAGGAAAACTCAAATATAAACTTATGATATTACCGATATCATTGTGTTCTTATGCATACAAAATAAATGATTTAATTGCAGGTACATTCAGATTAGCAATAATTACATATGAAAATGACCATTCCGGTTGAAGTGGTCAAGAAAATGTTACATATATTATGATAAGTAAACTGCTTTACTAATTGTCTGTACATGAAAAGATAGGAAAAATATTGAATTCTCAACTCTTGATATTGAGATTGAAGTTGAACATTTGCTATCTGGGGAGCTATTAATAAGTTATGATAGGATGACCAACCTTTATCAACGGTTATTGTAACCGATAAGTTGGGTGATGACCCAAAGAAATGAAATGAGTTAAATTATACAAATACAAATAAGAATGAAAGTACAAGTAAAAACATATAAATCCGTGCACAACGAAGTGAATGAAATCATTGTAAGCTACAATAGAATGTTATTGACCATTGCTTCTTATATTGTATTTACTCCATGTTCGTTGTACTTAACTAAAACATGTTTATCTTTTACTATTATCACTCGTACTAGTCATTAACTAGCATACAAGTTTCATTCATGTCTATTGAATTTTATTTAGTGTTGATTATCTCACTAAACCTATAACTTACCCTATAATATGTTGCTAATTTTCAAGAAAAGGTAAAGAGTAGGCAGGCAATTAGCCAGTTAACTTGCTTTTATGTATAACTAATGAATATAAAAATTTTGGATGACTTCTAGGGTACCTATATTTTATATTTATGCATGCTTCCCTGCATGGAAATATAAATTGATGATTAAGGAATCAATTTCAAGTAAATGCTCGTGACGATTTAATGAGATCAATCCTCCACCCGCTTGATGTTGATTTGTGCATGTGAAGACAAGTGTTAGTGAAAATTGAGTCTGACTGAGTCATCCACCTTTATTACACCATTGCTTGACCTTAACGGGAGTCAGCTGAAGGGTGATAATCATAATTATCATTATCCAGCTATTTAATAGTAGAGGTTTTCAATCTTCAATCATGATTCATTCATGTTGAGTACTAAACCATAAACATTAATTTTATTAATTCTTTAAATGGATACCTTTTTATAACATTATATATGGACAAACCACAACTTTATTTTTCCTTATCTTATCCTCAATAGTGTTTCTAACATCATTCTTCAAATCTAATCCTTTCTAAATAAAAATTAGGATTTTCGTCATGCAAAAATTTTAGCACTTATGTTCACCATTATCAACTCAGTTATTAATGATTTTAATAGCACGAAATTGATCGCACATAGCATAGCTAGCCAATTTGCATTTTAATAAAACGTTGAAGTCCGCATGGCATTACCTTCTAGCATAATATTCGTAAGTCGCATCTTCAATTGAACTATCAAACTTCAATTTTACAAATAACATTATTATTAATATCTTTTTTCATTTTCATATAAGACATCCAACATATTTAAAGTATGACATGCAAGCATCATATTATTTTCTAATAATAACTTTTGATTTAAGACAAAATAATAATAAATATTATGCATAAATATTGGATTAGCTAACTCATGTATAGTTACACTGCCAGGAATTGACTACACAGCCGGGAGGATTTGCCTATGGTACGTAGATTAACTAAACACATAAGCCGACAATATCAAGGAAAGTCACAAAAATATGATTAGAGAAAGCATCACAAAAAGAGGTGAGTATATGTGCAGGTCAACCACCCATGCAAACTTTGCCCACCACCCCTTTTGATCAAATGGATACTAGGACATGCTTGCATTCAAGAGGTGCTCGAATATCTACATTTTGTTCTTTCATACTAAACATTCAGTGAAAAATAGTATCTTCTATAATCCTTTTTATTTAAAAATACAGATAGAAATACAGATCTTATTAACTAGTATAGAAAATTCATGTCATAAAATATATATATATAGAATAATTTCATGAAATTGTTTGTTAATATTTTATCTTCTTTCATTAGTATGAAAGGGCACTTTTGTAGCTTTTCTTTATTTACCAATACAAAAAATAGCATAAAGCAAATGCCAATTAACTATCAATCCTAACAATGCTAAGATCTCTCCTAGTTCTCTCTTCATCATGGGCACATTCTCTTTCAAGGACATGGGAAACCTTATTTGATAGCAACAGTGAGCTCAAGGAGGTCCTCTCTTCTAAAATCATCAGGTATCAAGCACATACCCTCCTTCAACTAGAAATCCAAAAAACACACCATTCAATTTGGCTCTCTTTCTTGTTAGTTTCTCTCACAACCTGGAATCTTTTTTTCAACTTTCTAAGGGTATCTAGGATCTTAAAACTCATCCAATCATGCAAAACCATAGCGTTAAGCCTTAACTCCTGAACTGAGTTCGGCCATCAAGAATCTAGTAAAATATAATTTGGCTCTATCCAATAAATTTTAATCTCTAGCAAAAATATTTCTCTTGAAATGTTAATTCTCCTTACTAAAACTTGAATGCAGGACATCAAAGGAGGCAACTAAACATCCTACATTCACAGCTAAGTGTGGTATGCATACCATTAGGATCTCTCATATTGTATCATCAAATGAAAACACAGTTAAAGATAAATATGCCCTTTCATTACATGAAGATCTAGTGTATTCTGATATTTTCAGAAGCCACCATCATTACAAATCAGTTCAATCCTAAGACACGCGAACAATTCCAAAAGGCTGTGGTGTTTGTGTCGAACACATACACTGCTCCAACACCTCCGGACACATGTATGACACTTAAGAAATTGTGTCAGATTTTTTAGAAAGAATTTAAACTCTAGCACGGCGGGTACAAATGAAAAACGGTTATGCCACGAGCAGACAGCGGATCACAAAATAGCGGAAAGAAAAGTTGCTAAATTAATGAAATAAATATCACTCATATCTGCCCTATAACAGCGATACTACCTTCAATTCGCATATACACCTATTACTCTGCCCTCCCCACCCGTTTTGCTTCAAAGCCGCAAACTCGCACAAACAAATAGTTTCAATGAAGGCTTTATTGTTTCATCTTTAAGCTCTTAGCCTTCTAAAACTGAGACCGATGCTGGATGCTGAAGCCTTGTTTCTACTAGACACCAAACTGGTTTCATTGAAGCCAATCCGTGCCATCTTCAGAACCCAAAGCCCAAAGCCATCAGCAAATCCCTTGCTCATCAAAATTTAAAGTCAAAGTCGCATCTCAGCTTGATGTTAAACCCTTGCAATTGACCTTTGAAGTACCCTAAGTGTAGATGTGTCAAAGCCATGTCTCTACTGCAACCAAGTGCGTATCAATTCATTTTAGATGGCCAAAATTTAGATGTTCAAAACTAGAATGTTTTCAATAAATTTAACTATTTATCATGATTCAAATGATCCGGATAAATAACCAGAAAAAACTATAATTCTAAGATAATTAAAGAGAACTCAAATCTAGGAAACACTAATCTTTCATCATTGATAACTCTAATTGGAAAATGCTCATGCAATCTTGTTTTGTTTTATTATTTTAAGACTGCATTAATATTTATTTTTAAATTTTTCCTGGATTCTAGAAGCAATATTGATTAAAAAAACGTGAATTAAAAAAAAATTAATGAATGCTCGTGTCTAATTTTTTTTATCATTATTAAATTTTTTATAATATTATATTTCATCAAGTGATGCCTTTAGTACAGAATAGTAGAAACTTTACATTTTATATTAATAATTTATTAAGTATAAAAATATGTCTATGGCATGTCGTACCCTTCTTTTGTAACTATTATGTGTCAGCAATTCTATGTTATGTCATATATGCATCTTTGTATTCTTGTCTGTGGTTGATAACCTTCCCATGAAAATCATGCAACTATGATGCTGAATACCCTCGAATTTAATCTTCAAGACCAAACTACTAATTACTTCTTAAATAAAATATGAAAATGTTAATAATAAGTCAAAAATGATTTCTACATTGTCTGCAAAATATTATTCCTTAAAAGAAGGGCCTAGTTTTAACATTAAAAAGCAAAAACACGATTAGCTCCAGTTGATAATTTACCTACCCTCTGTTTCAGCAGAACTTGAGATCAATTTGATAATCTTCTCTATCAGCGAATATAATACAGCAAGGTTTTGTTGCTTTGATAGCACTGATTCAGAAGTAGAACTTTTAGAAGCTTCATATTTCAGGTATGCTAGTTCATTGAGAATAACAGAAACCTCCACTCTTGCACGCTCGAGCACAAGCAGCAGAAACCTGCAAAATAAAATTATTCAAGCATCAAGAACATCTCAAACACTTTGGTAAATTTTTTTGAGCATATGCTCAACACACTTAAATTAGATCAAGCATTTCACAACAAAAAAGAAAAACAAGGTGAAGTTTTCTTCAGAACACATTAGTAACTCCATATAAGAAACGCTTAGTACTGCCGTACTTGTCAACTGGCAGAGTTTCTTGGACATCAAGCATTATTTTTTCTTCAAGAAGCCAACCCTCACCAATTATATGCATGATCGAGTCCAAAAGCTGAAGAGCTTGAAGTTTCTCATAAGAAACTGAAAAATCACAGAGAATAAGAGACAAAATTCAAACATCTATCTTGTACTCTACGTTTCTCTAATTTTTTTATTTTATCTTTTTAAGTTATCACACAGCTTAACTTCACATAACTCTTTTTTTTTATTATTTTTATTTTATTTTTGTGGTGGGTGTACACCCAAAGGAATTAAATAAAGCATACCAATGCGATTTTGCAGGATTTCCATGATACCAATGCGGATATAAGCAGCCCAATTTTCTCTAGATAATTCTCTTAAAGCTTCATGAAATAACTTCAAAGAAAAATGTGAAGGAAGAGTCAGACAATTTTACAAAGCAAATCAACTTTATCAGCTGAAAAGCTATGTTTCGCCAATCATGATTGTAAGCAAAAAAATGATTTATTACAAATGATTTGGCACAGTAGTTACATTGCGTAAATAAACGAAAAATAGGTAGCATAATGCTTCATGCAAATGATAGGAACTTGTTGGTTGAATTCACACTTCACAACGGTAAGAAATCCATGCAAAAGTGATCCTGCCGCCAAATAGTTAGTGAATTGCAGAATAGTAGCATAAATACGATGGTCAACTTCACCCAATGAGCAAGTGAATTATACAGTAAAATAATGATGTCATTATAATCAAAGAAAAGATGATATAAGAAGATCACCGATATTACCTGATCATAGTAAGAAAAAGCTTAACCCAGAGACTCCTAAAAAAACTGTGTATTGAGAGGAGTTGCTATATTCAGCCATTCCTGATATAGCATAGAGCCACATTTCATAATGAGAACCCTTGACCTCTAAATAAAGGCAACCTTACTATTGTTCCAAGCCCGCTTCCTTTTCTGAATCACATGTTCAATTCCCAAATTAACCCTATTAGACCATTGTAATTATCAAAAGTCCTACTTATGAAATTGTGTTTATCTTCATCACATGCATCATAGCAATAACTGGACAAAGTTTATTCCATTTTATTTGTTCGCTTATTTTGTTTTGTATCTGTCTTAGATGGAAACGGCCTATGATGATATCATTGAGATAGAGATATGTTTTGTCAAGGGCCAGCCCGAGATTTGGAATTACTGAGGAGGGAACAGACGATCGAACTATGAAAATAAATTTTCTATTATTCTATTTCTATCACTAACAGTTTAATATCCAAATATTAATTGAATGGGCTACTAAAGAAATTAATTTAATTAACAAATAAGAGTTTACAATTCATGTTGTTGACCTCAACATTTGTACATATATTATGTCATCCAGAATTCATCTTCTATCCAAAAACTTAAACATGAAAAAAAAGCATTAAAATAACATAATGAGTTGGCCTAGATAACTCAATTGAGTAATCAAATTTCTAAACTACAGTGACTCAAGAAAAAGAAAAATAATATATATGCTAGTCCCTCCTAATATATTCTAGAACATCAAACAAGAATTTATAGCATAAATTCATGATGTTTGCTCATAGAAGAAATTTAGAATTTCTAAATGCATTATCTTTTACTTTATTTTTTAATATATAATATTTTAATTCTTCAAATACTTCATATAGTTAACTTTCACATTCATCTTAAGAGCACCGCCAAAACATAACTCAACTCACCCCTCACCGATATTATCGTGTCAGCTTAGCAGTTTGCTTTCTAAATTTCATTTTCGTTTGGCTTAACTAGATTGTATTGAGAATGTTATCCGGATTAATATGAAATTATTTTGAAATATGTTATTTTAAGAAGCATGCAAATCAATTTTAAAAAAAGTAAGCATAAGTTTCTAAATCTTTCAAATATATGGGATTTATCCCAACCATGTGAAATAAACTAAGTATTTCAAAAAGAACGATCTGAGAATATTGTGCGGGTTAAAATAAACTCTTTTCACTCAAATCACTCTTGTTTTTAAAAATATGTACAAAATTTATTTTCAAAAATTCTACACCTATTTTAAAATTACAAAATCTATATGATAATCAAACTCAAGACAATTGAGTTATGTAAGCTATAAATCGAGTCGTCTGGTCTATAGGACCCAATTAGTTTGATCCTCCCTCGCAAAAACTGAAGTTGATAAGTCTGATAATTTTGAAATAAATTTCCAAATCATAAGATAAAAATTTATAAAACTAAATCACTTATTCCGATCCTCCTTTTATTAAGACTCGAACCATAAGTAAACTAAAAATATAAAAAAAAATTTAAATATTCGAATTTCCAATAATGGTTGGGTTGACTGAAAAACTCAACCAGAGGTTAATTTCAAACCAACATTCAAACTAAGTTTCCAAATTAACACTCGAATTAAAATTAATCACTTCAAGGCTTAAAGCAAACTGCATCCACCCTACGTAATAGTTTGTCGAGGGTGAAAAACTTTTAATTGATTTCAATTAACAAAAGACTTAATATCACGCTGGTACCATGTGGCACGTGTCCTCAGTCCATGTGATTTGGCCAAAAGGCTTCACAGAATAGTGGTACGACCTGAGTTCTTTAACCAGATGATTGTTTCCAAAAAGCACAATTACACTATGATTACGACTGCAACCCTTATGTTTCAGATAGCTTTCTGTCTGCTTTGAACCACAAAGTTACATTTAATGGGCACAAAGACTTCTGTTAGCTAAGGTTGACTTAAAATTATTCTCTTAGAAAAACATTCACCCAGATCTATAAGGATCCCTTAGACGATACAACTCATAGTTGCTAACCAGAATCATTCATTCAATTTTCATTGACTACCTCCTTTGACTAAGTAGATCAAGGACTACGATGACCCGGGATGACGAAACCATGAGATCTTGATCGGGTTCGTCATCATTTCTTCTACCGCCCGTTTTAAATTCCAAGTGATATATTTTACTATAATAAAATGGAAAAAGAACCTATAAATGGATGGTTTGAGGCATGTTATGGAATAGCTTTAATACAATAATATCTCATCGACAAATTTTTGAATCTTTTAAGTGCAAAATGGATGTGTAATTCATTTAAATGTGATACAAATAACTATTTATAGATGTAGCCATCTCCTTATCCCGACAAGAAGCTTAAATTTCTTACTCGGATGTATTATTTCATTGACCTAATTTCTTTTTCATATCATGTTATTAGATTGCCAGCGCTTCTCATTTTGTTCAAGTCTAACATGGCATAGATTTAATTTAAAAAATAAAATTAAAAACACACCAAAAATTTTACCTGTGGAAAAAAAATTGCAATTGTTCATTGATTTCTTCAAACTTAGTTAACCAGTATAATATCGCTAGGTTCTAATTCCAATATTTACAGATTGATGCTAAATAAAATAATTTTTTTGCATAACCAATAGCCTGTGATCCAAATACAATGCATAATATTAATTGCATTAGAAAGCCCTAAACTTAAAACTATCTTGAATTATCACCTACTTCAATCATGTGAAAAATTCACAGTATACATAAGATACTGGAGCTCCACATTTATTGCGGTTAAAACAAATGAGATCTCCGAATGAACAGAAAGTATCAGACTTTAAAGCAAATAACATACAACATTTCGCGAGCACAGAAGTGTTGTGAGCATGTGCATCACATCAAATTTCAGGGCATTGTGCAGCACAGCAAATTGTCTAGAAAGAGAAGCCACCTGAATCAAAATGTCAATAATCACTCAGGTATCCCAGAATGAAGACGTAGCAAAAATCCAACAGAAAAATTAAACATGCTGCAATCCTGTGTGTAAAGAGAAATTTGCAAATACCATCCATGGCATCCCTACAAGATATCTTTTATCCATACTTTCAGTAGGCATCTTATCCAAAATAAGCTCCAGAAGCCTCACGGAATGTTCCAGTGACCGAGAATCTTGACAGAAATAACAAATATTATGAAAAAAAAAAAAATGGTTTACAATATAAATAAGAAGCACCATAGTTTAAGTAAAAATAGCCACTAGGTTGTGACTTGAAAATAAAATTCGGCTTAGTTAAGATTTTGCAAGTTATCACAGGATATAGAAATGAATGATACCGTGTCAGTAAACAGGGCAATGGATTGAAAGTAGTCCAATGTTTTTCATGATTAGATGTGGATAACATAAAAAAAAATTTAGCACGATGAAATTGCAAACATTTGCAGTTCCAAAAGTGAAACAAACATATACTCTTTTATAACTTAAAACACAACAACCCATATAAAAATAAAAAATAAAAATAAACACATCTTAAAATGATGACCTTAACTTTTGATCTTCATTCCTCTTCTACAATTCATATTTTTATTATTACATACATTCGTATCTTTGATGTCTCCTTTGACTCAAGGGCCTGCTCCTCTGTCTGTGCATTGTTTTATTCATAAAGTTTTGGTAGGATATGACTGGCCATTTACAGATGCAATATTTTAGAATGAAGTGCTGTCAGCATTTCTCCATCTTTTTCACAAATCCAATTCGAATGACTCTTCAATAGAATGGGAAGAACTTTAACCATGTAGCAAACCTATGTAAGATTTTCTCAAGCCAAAAGCAAGTAAAAAATTCTTGGTTAAATTTTAAAAAACATTAACGTTTTCAGTCTTTCATCTTTCTTTTGAGTGATTAACAATCTTACATGATGCATGTTAAAAGTACGAAAGAACTAAAAGTGGATAAAATGCAGGGATAATAGAAATGCAAGACATGCAATTCACATATAGATGGAGGCAGCAATAGATCCAAAAGCTGCATACGCTATCAAAGAAAGGGAGCCTCGTCTCGTGTGATGCCCTTTTCAAGCACCCTTTAGCTCCTTGCCCAAACCCTAAATCCTACAAGTACATAGTGTGTGTGTGTGTGTTTATAAAAAACCCAAGGGCTAATTTATTAAAATGGAACAAACCCTAAATCCTACAAGTACATAGTGTGTGTGTATGTGTTTATAAAAAACCCAAGGGCTAATTTATTAGGTTACAGATAGGTTGTATGATGGGCCCAGAAAGGTACCCAACCCACACAGTACAACACACAAAAAAGTAAAGATACATGTAATACCAAAAAAAAATCAAAACCATCAAAACGCGCAAAAAGTTAGGGACGACCTAATTTAGTCATGTCTCTGCCTCTAGCTCTAGGAAGAGAGTCAGCTAACAAATTGGTGAGTTGCGTGTCATTACCCAAAGTAACCAAAGTATCATCCATTAGATTCTTAAGCTCAAGTAGGTCATCATTCTTTTTCTTTCTCCTGGATGTGTAAACCTGTCATTCCTCGTCTGAAGACTGGCTCAACTGATCAATATGTTGGTCAACAGATTGTCGGGCATGTGTGAGTTGATATCCCTTGCACCTGACTAACAGTAACGACTTGCTCGTTTAGATGAGGTGGTAGAACTGCAGTAGAAGGATTGTCAATCGTTGTAACCACATTAGGTTCTAGTGTATGTAAAGTATGAATTGTCGTCTCTGCACAGAATAGTTCCTGAAGACGAGGAGCTGCAAGGCTCTCCTGATTATCGGTCTGAAAATTTTCCTTTATAGGTAAGGATCCTTTAGTATTGATTTCAATAATGTTTAAAGGTGTAACTTGCCCAGCAAAGCCATCCGGCTTTAGTATTGATTTCAATAATGTTTAAAGGTGTAAGTTGCCCAGCAAAGCCATCCGGCAAGCAACACATCAATCGCAGAAACAAAAACAATATTGTCAGGGGGGGTCCCAGAGGCAATTAAATCAGACACAAATTCCTGTCTTGTGGTAATTTCCTCCACAGTTGAGGCCAATGTGTCCAAAATAGTGGGGTTAGACCTATCCTTATTCACTTGAGCTGTAGATTTCAAGTTAGGATGGAGTCTGTGACATTTGTCAAGGGTATACCCAAACATCTTACAGTGGATACAATAGAAAGGTCTATGTTCCATGACAATCTGTTGTCAATATCTATTATGTGCTGTGCCCAGCTAGATTTCTGTAATGTCAAATAAAGTGATATCTCGTTCCACAAATATTATGGCAACAGAAAGTCTGGTTAGATTGAAAGTAGGTAGATCAAGCTTCATAGGATTCTCAAGTATGACCCTAATAGAGTAAAGAATCTGATGATTAAGAAAATGCAACTTGAGACCAGGTAAACTAAATCATACTGGTACAGTAGGAGGTTCAAGATTTTGGTCAAAATCAAGAGTCCACTTTAGTAATTTCATTGACTTTCCTACAATGTTAAGATATTTTTTAAAGAAAACCCGAGCGTAGTCTTCAATCATGGTTAACTGAATCAACACATGTCTCCCATCAAAGAGACCCAGTTTCCACTTGTCTACTAGTTAAGATCATCAAAACTCATTCTGATAACATCCATAGGTGGGTGCCCCCACTGAAATTTTTCAATAATGGCGAATCAATAATAATTTTTCAATAATGGCGAATTTGAATTTCTCAGTCAATGTTGAAATTTCTAAATCAGAGAAAAAGAGTGTTGCTTTCACACCTTTCCTTTTTGCCTTCTCAACAAAAGGGCAATCACCTGTACCATCACGACATTCCTTATAGCTTGAAGGGAAGACAACAGTCAACTCCACCAGATGATTACCCACCACGTGGGCGAAGGAGGATTTGTCAGGTTCAACCGAAGGAGGGAGCGCACCCACCCATCAAGCAGGGAGAAAGTCCACCTGCAATGACGCCCCGTATGCGCAATAGGTGAACAAGTCAGAAAATGCGAGCCGACAGACATTCAGAGTCAAAATAGATGAGTGAGCTGACAGAAGATGCAAGACGACAGAACAGGAAGGAGATACGAGCCAGCAGAAGATGTGAAGACGCGAGTGCATAAGCTCAGCGTTGAAACAAACGACGACGCAAAAACTCGAAGAGATGCGAAGAACTCAGCATCGAAACAGACGAAACAGACGAAGCTGAGGACCGATGAGATGCGAGCCCTTTTCCTTCGATCCCTTCTGAATCATACGAGACTGAATCATAGATGATGGAAATTGTCATTCGAGACCCTAGTAGAGACGATGGAGACGATAGAAATTGCCATTATATTATATAAGTTTATTATTTAAGTGTTTATAGTAGATGTATTAATGCATTTGAAAATAGGATGTGCTTGAAAGGAGATACAATTTCAAGATCGAGATAGGAATCACTCTGAAAGATAAGATATGTTCTAATTAAAATTAAAATTTAATTTACTTAATTTAGAATTAATATTAATAAAATATTAATTTATAACAACAATTAAGGTTGGAGAACATTTGAACCTCGAAGATCTAAAGATGGGAAGTCGGTGAGACAAGCAAGTAAAGCAATGAGAGTAATAACTTTCTTATGTGTATTAAATTGAAATTTTATTTAATAAATACTCAATTATTGCTCAGATACAAGCTTTAATAATTACATGCATGTTCTAAAGCAAAATAACCATTGAAATGAATGAAATGATAAAAACAAAAATTGATTGTTTAATATCTTCACAAGGATGCTTAAGTTATACAAAATTACCCCCCAAATAATACTGACAAGGGATGCGATGTACCCGTGTATGTTAAAAAAAATGAAAAAAATGGTCAATGTGCACCCATTTTTTGGGTACCAACGAGTACAGTTTTTGAGGATGCGTTTGGGTATGACATTAATCCAGAATTGGCTTCTTTAAGAGTTAAAAAGGATAAAAAATTAAATTTATACATAAAATGTTAAATTTAAAATGAAAGCTTACAGTATGTTAAATAATGAACTGTATTTCATTTGATCATTCATACATAGCATTTGCATATGAATTTAATGTCTGGTAAGATTGTAATTGCTCACTAAGACGTGAAAACTTACAATTTAATTTAATGATTTCTTTCAAGAAAAGTTGTAGATTGATATGTCTGACAGAAAGACTTTAATTTATAAGATGACTACTACTAATAGGTAGGATTGTAGTTTCTTTGCATTATTTTTTTTTTGGTTAGTAATATATTGTTACATATCGGTTTGAAATATTTTCTACATATTATGTTGTTATTTCTAAATAATTTATTTTTTTGTGTCGTATATTTTGTGGCTTATTAGTGACTCTTTTATATATATTGAAAATCATGAAAATCTATGGAAAAAAATTAAATATTAATACCATCTGATCGCAGCAATTCTAAGCTACCAAATCATGACACGTACACACCATTCACCTCCAAGACCTAAACCCTAGTTATGTCATTGAGGAAATAGCTGTTAGAAGCCATTTAGAAACTTACAAATGGAACAAATGCAGCAGAAAATATGCTAACTTCAATAAATGCTCGTTGAAATTAATGATGGGATCATAGGAAAATCACCATCGATCGGGATAGCAAGTTTAGAAGAGAGAGGGAGCTAAACCTCTTCCATAGGGAGGATTCTAGTAAAGAGGAGGATAGGTCACGACGCTTTTAAATTAAGTATCTGAGGAAACCAAATGATGGAGTGACTGTTGCAAGATGGAGAGTCTTGGGAGTGAAGGTAGACTTATCTGATTTTGAGGGAAGAATGAATATGAACGACTTCATTGAGAGGTTGCAAGTTGTGGAGAGAATTTTTTAGTACAAGTTGTCAACTAATAGAAGAGTGAAGTTGTCATAAAATTGAAAAAAGAGTCTCTTTGCAGTGGATGAACTTGCAGATAAATAGAAAGAAGGTAGAAACAATATAATTACGAGGGAGAAGATGAAGGAGATGCAGAGGAAGTACCTACTCTTACACTATCGAGAAGACATTCTTAAAGTTCCACCACCTATAGCAAAGAGTTGTCAATGGAGAAGTTCACAATAGAGATTGAGCAGCTCATTTTCAACATGAGCTGACAAAACTATAGCATACTATATTCAGATATTTATGATACATGAAGCCAACCATTAACAATGTTGT